TACCCACATATAAGAATGAACTAGTTTTAAATAAAAGTTTGGGAGCATTCCTTGTTGCAATTTTATTTATCTTTTAAATATGAATAATATCATAATTAACAAACAGCCATAGAATAAAAGTGGTCTTTGAAGGTCTCTACAGATGTTTTTATTTTGTTGTTACAGATAGATAGATGGATGGATGGAGGGATGTTTGTCAATAAGGTGAACATCTAAATAAACAACATTCCAACCCAACTCCATCACAGGTTTTTTGTCTGTCAGTGTGTGTTTTTGAGGGGTGGGGCCAGATGAACCTTCAGCACTCCGAAACTGCTCTAGATGGAGTTGGATGCAAACTTCGTGAGGTAGAAGCTCTCCGCAATGACTTGGATGCTGTCCGGAGTTTAAAAGTGGATTTATGTGGGACTTGTTTCAGAATTACGGCAGAGAACCGCAAAATAAACCAGGCCTCTATGGGCTCCATTAAAAGCGCAGTTCAGTGGAATTAGGGGATTTATCTTTGGGATTTTCTATTTAAAGTTATTTTTGTTTCTTTTCCATTCTCCCATGCCCAGTATTGCTCAGATTACGCACGGGGACACTGATGTAAACTGTCATGACATTTTAACCGAAGTCAAAGCAAGTCAAGAAGCGCACTTCCCATAATAATCACAGTTGACAATCTGTTGCTCAGCCGCTGGTGTCTGCTAGCAGCGCGAGGAGAAGCCCATATTACAGACACATAAGAGCCTCGCGCTCAGTGGATCAATATGACGCTCGCGATACATAGTAGGTAGGTTATACGATCGGCTTACTTCATTATTTCTAGTGTATCAAAACATTCATTTACGTCTGAGAGATCGCCACGGAATAAAATCCAGTTTCATTTGACCAGGCATTGACATTTTTATTTTTAGATTAGGCTATCTGTCGAAATGTTTACTTTGATTATATGATGACGCTCGGCAAATATATTGTATATATGATTATGCACTGACACTTACGTTTTTAATCATTATCATTTTAATTTGATCAGTTTATTATTACCATTTTGTGTTAGGCTACAAGAATTTTATAAACTTTTTTTTCTTATACTACTATTAACAATATAATAACAAATTATAAATGTTGAAATGTCTGAATATTATTATTAAATAACATACAATCAAATATTGAAAAAGTTAAAATGTTATAAATAATAAAAGGATTATTATTATATTATTATTATTCAGTAATTCAGGTTTCTAGACCGAAAAAAAAAATGCTCACAATATAATCAATGCTCTGGCCTTTGCTTTTGATTTATTATTGAGGGCCAAATAGGGTTGAGAATCGAGATAGTTCATCAGGGATATCCAAGTTTTGACCTGCTAGTTACTAAAATCCAGATCGTATGGTTTTTAAACATCCCTTGTTCTGTCTCTTGCCCAGTGTTAGGTAATCTGGCACCAGCATTCTGCAGTAAAACCATTAAGTGTTTTTGAGAGGACCTGTCCAGAGGGAGAGATGACGGTATAGAGATAAAGACAGGTGCAGTCTGACAGCTGCACGCTTGGTGCCAGTAAACAGATTTAACAGCATTTTACTGCCTTAGACAGATATTTCAATGAAGCTGCTGTGGTCCTGACTCCTGGGTGCTGGTGTAGATCCACTTCGGATGAAGAGAGTGTGATGTTGAGGGCAAAGAGAGGGTCACCCATTAGTGTGCTGAATCACATGGATCGCTATGCTGACTGAATATATCAGCTTTATTGTATACTTTACTCATATTTATTGCATGGTCATTGTTTAGTTTTGTGGTTTTATGTTTGGCTGCCGTATATACTGAAACAATATTCCAAAAAGTACTTTATGTGCCAAATACACACTCCGATCAACCATTTTAAACACAGGACTAATTCTTTGTCAGGTCATCACCGTTTCTGGTTTTGAGTCTAGTCCATAGGCTTTTATTGTTAGCCATTTGGGATGGATGTTGAACGTTTAACTCTCTTTCCTCATTTCTCTGGGGTTTCTTTAGCGGAGGATTTCCAGGGGGTCTGGCCCATGGTTCCAGAACAGGCCAGACAGACATCCCCTCTGTTTTTGCTCTGCTTTATTACAGACTCTGTTAATGGCCTGTTTACTGCTCTGACCTTTTTCATGGTTCCGCCTGAACTTGCTGCCTAACACAACTGCCTGAACACATGTTCTGTGGAATAGGCTGGGCTGTTGGCCTTCGTCATACAAGATAGACAAAGGCAGTTTAAAGAAACAAAGAAAAACAGTTGTTGATGCACTGAAATGGACTAGAGCTGAGACCACCGGTGGTCCTTGGGATTCTAGGTGGCCCGCTAGTTGATTGGCTGATAGACAAATAGAAAGATATTTTATATATTTATATATTATTATTATTATATTTATTATAATATAATAATGATGCTGTATAATAATTTATATACTATGTGTATATACAGTACCAGTCAACCGTTTGGAAACATTACTATTTTGAATGTTTTTGAAAGAAGTCTCTTATGCTCATCAAGCCTGCATTTATTTGATCAAAAATCCAGAAAAAACAGTAATATTGTGAAATATTATTACAATTTAAAATAATGTTTTGTTTTATTTTAATATACTTTAAAATATCATTTATTTCTGTGATGCAAAGCTGAATTTTCAGCATCATTACTCCAGTCTTCAGTATCACATGATCCTTCAGTCTTCTAATATGCTGTAATGTTAAAAATAGTAATGTTTCCAAACTTTTGGCCAGTTATGTACAGTATATATTACACTAACTTTGAATTAAGTGACTCGTTTATACTCAATGAATTAGCTGATTCATTATTTTTAAATGATTAATTTTATGTACAGAAAGTGTACAGAAAAGTTCAGTCCAACTTCTCAGATAATTTAGGTACATTAGATGAGTCTAGATTAGTAATTTAATTGAAATAAAAGCAAAATGATGGGTCAGTGGCCAACCTTGAATGCAATTCAAAATTGTTTTGCCACCTGAAAAAGTTTAGGATTCAATATATTCTATATGGAGTTAATTGCTGCACTTTGAAGTTGATACATACATCAGGAGAAATTACACAACAGACAATTTAATCTTCTTACTATAAATGAGACAGAGTTTTGGTATTTAGCAGAACGAGCACAACAGAAGAACAGGATCTGTTGTTTGTGAATGAGAGGGCAAAGACATGAAAAGCTATCACAGTGTCCTAAGAAAAGCTCAAAGGCATAATCGGTCAGATGGTGGGGATGCCCCTCATGCTGCACTCAGAAGCTTATTTGGGAAATGACAGTGGATTTGCTTGGATTCGACTTAAATGTAGATAAACATTATTGGTTGAAAAGAGGAAGGATTCACACAGTTTTGATTAGATTTCTCTTTTTGGTTTAGATGGACAAAATCTAAACCAAATCCAGAAATGTTCCCTTTTTTTTCCGATTTCACCTGAATTCTGCAAATATAACCTCGAACATCATCTATCTTTTATTTTCTGGAGAAATCCCCTTTCTGCTTCCAAGACGATGGCATATCTGTGCGTCAGACTTGACATATCTCTCCAAATGAATACTGCTGACAAGCGCTACGAACAGCAGGCAACGGGAGGTTTTGGCTCTGGGTTCTAAATACAGAGAAAGTGTCAAAGACATTGGAATATTATTCATTGCCTAAGATAAATAAACTTGGGGAAAAGAAGATGTCCTCAAAAGTTTTTCTTATTCCTTCTAGACTAGAGATCATCGTTTAATGCTTGATGTGCATAATAAATATTGTTTCCTTTTTTCCTCATTTAAATCATGTCCACTAAACACATCTGTGTATGTGGTTTATTAATTTTAGCTAGTTTTACCACATGGCTGTAACCAAAAGATCCTGTTAACAACCCTTTAACAAAGAGAAATAAATGTTTCTTGTTATTTGTGATGTATATCCTGCTACAATTAAACTTCTTATTAATAATGTTTTATATTTGCATGACATATTTGCACAAAGTGGCTTTTCCACCCGCTGCATTTGCACCGTTGCTTTTGGAAGTCAAATTCAAACCAAACGGAGGAAAAATCATGTTTGTCTTGCATGTTAGTTCATAAATTTCAATTTATAGACTCAGCAGCTTTTCATATTTCAGGAGTGTTGAATGGCTCAAATGAAATATAGATATCTGTAGAGTCTTTGTTGGCATTTATAAGCACTTTTTGTTATGCTAAGAATTAACAAATAACATGATACAAGATCCAGAGGACCTGTGGCCAAATATGGCCCTGCTTTCCTGATACTTCTAGGCATGATGTCTCTCTTGTGTAAATCCAGAACGCTCATCCATTTCTGCTGGAATGTGATTAAGAATCATTCTATAAACATATCTATCTGTCATAGTGAGAGCGAGGCGTAATGTGACCGCTTTCTTAGCTTGAGATCCATTTTTTTCTGCCTATTGTTTTCTGACAGATGGGGTAAACATGTTTTTTCCCCCCTCCATTCCTCACTTTTGGAAGTGCATCGACTATAGGTTATTGTGGCATTTGTTTCATGGTGACCTATTTCTGATCAAATCAGTTTTAGCTTTAGTGGCCAGACTATATACAGCTCTTGTCAGTCTTAATGGGAAATTACAGTTAAAATGAAACATTTTGTTTGCTTTCCCGGCTCACGAGTCTATCTAGCAAAGGAAAAAATAAGCATGGCTGGAATGTGTGGTTAAAACGGACAAAATACCAGTTTCAGCTTATGTTTCACAATCTATTGTGTCCGCATTTATAGTTCCAGACCAGACTTCCATGAATCAATTTAACAAATTTAGAGCGCAGAAATGCTGAAGTTCGTTGAGAAAGAGCAGTGATAGAGATGAAAGAGTGCAGTTATGTAAGCCATCCGTAAGGCTATTTTCTTTCCGTCGCTTTTTCCTCGATTCCAAAAAATATTTCATGACAGTTTACAGAAAATGCAAAAGTAGTTTTTAAAGTTTGAAAAAACTTGCATCTCTTCCCCTTGGCAAAATATTTGGACTTTCTTTTGACACGCTGACTTAAAGTACGGATTTATATAGCCTACATGTCTCATTGTGCTTTTTCTCCCCCCATTCACCCACTCCTCTCCACATCCAACTCCCTCCTTCCCTCGCTCGCCCCCTTTTCTCTGTCTCTCCGCAGCAGATCTTGGCACTGACAGATGCGTTGTCACGCGTAGGAGTCCAGAACCTTTCTCCATCTCTCTGGGGTTTTTTTCGGCACTCACCCTCCTCCTCCCAGCATCCCTAATAAGACACATGCTCCTGGGCTGTGTTGCTCACTCACGTTAGGATCTCCTGGCAAGCTCCCGCCACACTCTTCTCTCTCTTTTCTCGGTTTCGCCCCAGGCTTCATGGGTTGAAGGGCAGTTTGCGTTGTCCACAAGATCTCATCTCACCTCGGCTCTCCGCACCCAGACTTCATCATTCTCATCTTCATCATGTTGAGTGCTATGGTTTGTTCCCCAAACATGTTCGGACTTGCAGAGGCCTCCAGCCAAGGGCTCCGTGACCGACTGTAGTCGACTCTGTTCCACCTGCCACAGCGTGAAAGGGGCGCCCTCAGCTGTGATCTGTCTGCCTGCAGGCGGGACCCAGCGTGACTGGGCAGCAGGGACTATGCATTTGGGACTGGTGGTGCTGGCAGTGGTCTTCCTCAGCTCCATGGGTCACGGCGATAACCTCAAGGCCTTCAAAGCAAGAAGACAGAGACGGAGTGAGTGTTGATGTCTGTCTTTTTCTCTCATCATTAGGTAGCTCGGGTTAACTGTCTCTTATGACACAGTGCAGCGTTTCTCATTTTATTTCTTTGTCAGTCCCGAATATTTGTGTTTTTGTCATTTTTTCAAGCGAGTTTTGGTGGGGTATTACTTGTTTAGGACCTGCTCTGCTGCTTTTAGCAACTTTTCTTTTAAAGGTGAATTGTAAATGAGCATGTCATGTTCCAGAGCGTGGTCGAATTTGACCGATTAGACTTTTTTCATGATATATATCTTTTATGGAAAAGTTAGTTTTGAAACCCACACATTGCAGCAGAACTGACTTCTAATATTGCAATATGTTTGTTTTGTTTCAAATTTTAATGAACACGTTTATGTTTACGGAAAGTGACTTATTTAAGTGGCTAATCTTTTTTTGTGTATTATAATGCTATCAAAAACTCAATTAGTAAATGATTTGGGGCTTTAGAATAATGAAAAATCAACCTGCACATTGCAGCGGAGCTCACTTTGAAATATTACAAGTAGTTGCCTATATTTTAGTGTAGTATATTGCTAACAGATAAGTACTTTTGAGCTTTGGTATAATGTAAAACAAATCAACCTGACAATCAGATCAATTTCTTATCATAATGTGACTTTTAAATGAAGGGGTGACGTGAGATTATACAGTGGGAAATGTACATTGACGACTGCTTGCAGTGTTGAGGAGTGTACAGCCTCCTCTAGAGGGAGTTGTAGGTAATGCAGAGACATTCACAGTGGCTGTACACAAAGCTGCATAGCATTTGCTAATGGTTAGACTGATCTTATTTAACTTTGTCAGTAAGAGACAATAGTTTTAAAACATTTACATTTATTCACCTGCCTTTCACTATTAGCAACAAAACAACTATCACTATGACTGTCAAGTTGCACTAGGAAGACTAGAAGTGCTAATCAAAACACAGCACCGATGAGAATGTAGAGAGCTATCTGTGGAGAAATAAACAGTGTGTAACTTGGTCGAATAAATCATCGGATGCTTCACTATCTGTTAAGACTTCTTGACCTCACTGTAAGCTAATCCGACCAGTGCTTCTTGATAGTGGAGTTTCTTAGCGTTCTATCAACAAAATGAAAGCAAACACCTCTGACAGCTGTTATTATACAAGTGATTGATCAGCAGTCACACTTTTTAGTCCTGTTGGTACTTTCCTGCTTTTTTCTCTCTCGCTGTAAATATATCCAAACCATACTAGCAAAACAACTAATATTTCATTTCGTCTAAGAGCTTATTTTTGTTCGTTATAAACTATTTTAATTGATGATACCGCTCTGTACATTAATCCAGCTATTCTGCCTACTCTATAATTTTTCTCAGTATTTTTGCCGTTTTCCAGTGAAAAATGTCTAAACATTCATTAATAATCGTTCATGTTAAAACACTTTTAAAATTGTGTAAGCTTATAAGATTTAAAAATAGAAAAAATAAGATTTGTTTTCAGGGAATATGTCTTGACTTAAGTTTTTTTTTTCTTACACCATTAGCAATTTTTTTTTCTTGCTTAAAGCATTAACCTCAATAAATTTAGCTAGACTAATGCTTTAAACAAGAGAAAATATATTTTCCAGTGGAATAAGCAAAATACATTTAAATCAGGAAATATACTCTTAAAGAAAGGAAGTCTGACGCAATTAATTTTATTTAAAATATTTCAATATTTTTAAACAGCTTGCCAGCTAATTTGAAATCAATTTATGTGTATGATATCTTGTGTATTGAATTGTAGTTCCTCAGTACAGTGATGATGATTAGTGATTTCTGCTTTCCAAGAAATAGTTTCTATTTGGCCCCTCTCTGAATTTTCGTAATTTTAGAATTTTGCCACATCTTGTAGGGTTAAAGCCTTTTTCACATGAACATGTTCAAAGTGGAAAACTTTAATACAGTACAGCTCATCAGCAACAGCTTATATAAACAGTCCACCTAATGATATTTCAGGGATAATGAAAGGGGGAAAATGTTATTCAGCTGGATAAAATCACTCATTTATGGTTTCAAGGGGGATACATGTGAATGTGAGCAGCACAGTCTGACAATTTTGTGATTAAAGAAATGAAGACGGCTATGTATTCTGGGTAAAGATTGTGCAAAATATTTAGTAATAATATTTGGATTACTTTCATACAAAATGTCTTACTGTTTGATATATATTCCATGTATGTTTTAAGACATATTTTAAACGGTTAAAATTAAAGAATCATTCTAGCCCAGAATCTAAAAAAAATATGAAAATGTCACTGTGTCTGGAATCGCATTCGTTTTAAGATACAAACCAGAGATTAACATGATGCCAATTGCATAAACAATGAAAAAGCTAATATAAAAATAACAATAAAGCAATATCTTTAACTTGAACTGGCTACATTCAGTTGTCCGAGAGTCAACTGAAAGGTGCAGAACTCTTCATTTTTATTCACTGACTGTGTTGTTGTTTATTGTCAAGTTCAGCTAAAGTAGTTGTGAATGACCATTGATATGAATGCAGGCAGAAGTTTGCAATTCTATACATAGTCAGTGTGTGACTTCACATGGATTAGCATGTATTAGCTTGTTTAGTGGATTCTCTGCTAATAAATTGCCTTTAGAGTTCGGAAATGAGATATTTCAGGGTATTTTAGGTTGTATGATGATCTCATTGTGAGTTTGGTCATAAAAAGGTCTTATTTATTCCTTGCACTTTTTGTAATCCAAATCGCTTGAATCCAAAGGAGACCTTCAAGTCATCATATTGGAACAAGGTCTAGAAGTGCAAAGGCTGTCTTTTTTTAGTGTGTGCAAGGTTTGTGTGTAGTGCATGCTATGCAACCTAACCAACCTTCCTGCATATTTGTCCGGGCTAACTGCCGCTCAATAGACCCGTGCAAAACAATTTTTCACGTTCATCATTTATAATGCTAGTTTCATATTTGTTGCTCCTGCTGAGAGGCCTTTTCATTTATTTCAGCTGTGGAGAGGAATGCAGCGATCGGATAAAGGACACCCATATGCCTGAAAATGATCCACTTGTTTTTATGGACTTTTTTGGGTGGTTGGTGGTCCTTGTTCAGCTGAACCCACCACGGAGTCCTTGCTACTGAATATTAATAGTAAATAATTTTAATATTAATGTTTTTTTTGCTCATGTTTTCCAGTAAAAACATATGTAAACATCCTTAAAATAAGATCATATTAAGGGATTTATTCATCCATTAGGTTGCGTCACTTACTGTACGTGCAGCTTATTTACAGCTAGATGGTTATTTTAACAGCATAGAGATTGATTGTCTTTTGAGTGTGTATATTTAAAGCTGATGCTACACACATAGACCCATAAATTAAAGCAGATGACCGCGGTTTTGACTACCAGGAACAGGATGTGCACTCTGACATGCTTTCAGTGTAATCGTTTATTTCTTCTTGGCCTCAAACACTGACATTTTTTGGACGTTAAAAGCAAGGCATGAAAGTCACAAGGGATGAGTGAGCTTTCTTAGATATCTGTAGCTGATTTTATTTCATCATGTGTCGGCACTTTGGGGCACCTGAACAGAACGAAAAAAGATTGAAGTTTCAGGCCCCTTTGTCCCTAGTTGACCCATCACAAATCTGGGCGTGATGTCCCCAAATTTTGACCGTCCAATTCAAAAATACTGCAACATCATCCGATGAAAGATTTCCACATGAATATTGCAAATGAACAGCGTGAAACGAACAAGAGTACTTGGCATAAATGAGCTGCAAACACAGAACACTGTGTGTAATAAGATAAACCAGTGCCATGTTTACAGCCCTGCAGTCTGAAGTGCTGTTTAGAAATCCTCATGCTGATGTGTCGTAATGAATCGCCTGTTCTCACAGTGCTCTCTCAAATGAATTATATTACACCTACCGAGTTTGTATTATCAACAACAGTTTTGCTCAAATGACTAGCATAGCTCGTCACATGTTGTATTTTGGATCTATCCGTCTGTCTGTCTGTCTGATATCTATCCGTCCATCTGTCAATCCTTCTATATATAATATATGTTTATATTATATTATGTTTATCTTGATATTTAGGGGTGATGGTAAAGTCGTAGTAAAGGACCTTGGTTGTTCATTCAAAGTCTGCAGGTTCAAATCCAGGTAGGGGTGGCTGACGAGTATCTGACATTGTAATCCAGCTGTCTACTCCTGTGTAAGGCACTTAACTACTTGGGAACTAGTCATCGTAAGCACTTTGGATTACAAAGGGTGTTCTACACTGTAAGAAAACACTGCCAAATATCACGCTCACTTCTATTTTTCTGTCTTTCTTTCATCAGTAAGCACTGAAGTACCACCATCATGCTCAAATGGCTGCGAACACTGCTCAGAGTACAACGGCTGTCTTAAATGTCGACCCCGACTCTTCATCCTACTGGAGCGGAATGACATCCGTCAGATTGGCATTTGCCTCGCTGCCTGTCCTGTTGGATATTATGGCATTCGAAATCGGGATATGAACAAATGCACACGTGAGTCTTCAAGCTCTGCTGGAATATTTTTGTCAAAATGTCAAAACTGTAAATAAGTATACGGGGAGAAAGAGGTAAGCTGTGATATCAGCATATCAGAATGATTTCTGAAGGATCATGTGACATTAAGGACTGGATGGCTGAAGACTGGTCACAGGAATAAATTACATTTCTATATATATATATACACTGTACACAGTAGTCAACATTTGAAAAGTGGATCAAAACGTTAGTTTCATCAAAGTTATACATAAATTTTGAACAATACCCGTTCTTGTCTTAGGACAACTTTGATTAACTTTTTTGATCCACTTCAAATGTTGACTATATATATATATATATATATATATATATAGAATAACAAACATTCATTTCACAATATTATACAAAATTTTTGCAGTCTTGGTGAACATACGATACAAAAATATTTTTAAAAATCTATAATATATATACACTTTAGATGTATTATTTTCATAAAGTAGCGTAAATGAAATTCATTGCTATTGTCCATCTGTCAGTCATAGGCAGTTGAAGCTTATATAATATCAAATGACAAAAATTGCAATTTGCTAGGTTGAGTAACACAGCTTGCCCACTGACACATCTTACCCCCTCTCCCCTCTTGAAAAATGAAGATGAATTGTCTGATCAACACAGCGTCATAAAATGAGCTTTCTTTCCTGTTTGCACAAGCTTAACGTCAGTTATACAGTGTTTAACCTTATTGGGAAGAAGATGGCACAAATGATGCAATTACAAAAAAAATCACATTGTTCACCACATTCATTAGTACTGTAACCCACCAATGACATTAAACTTGCGCATCTCCACCCGTGAATGCCAAATGTTGAGCCAGCGTTTTGTTTTCTCTTACTCTGCGGTTGAAAAACAGGGTTGGGGGATGAAATGCAAAGCAAAACATTGATAATACGCTGCTGTTTGTCTGTTTCTCCTAGGAAGTATGTGTTATTATTGTAGGCTGTAAATGCAGAGGTCATGATAGTTCAACTCTGGCCATATTTTTTTTCATTCTTTCTACGCAAACCCTACGCAAACCTTACGCAAAAAAGCATAATGAGGACTTGCCTTTAAACGGCCTCTTTGTTTTAACAGTGCGCTCTCTAGATTTCAGCCGGAGACTCGGCGGCCTGTTCCCATCATGTGCGTGAGCATTTTTACTGTGATAAAGGCAAAGCAGGGGAGATAAACAAGGAAATACCTCTCGTAAATTGATTGGTGGTACCTCTTTACTCCTGTTGTGGGAGGAAATTAATAGCTTTATTTGAGCCCTTTCTAACTTCAACCTACCGAACCTTTTCCAGTTGTAAATTGAACGTCTTTGCTCCCCTTTCAAGCGTGTTTTGATAGCCAATTAGTGTGAACCACAGCTTGGAGTCATTATATTTTGTTATAGGAAGAAAATACTTTTGTTACCAAGATACACTCTTGCATCACTCGGCCTAATACCTCTCAGATGGTTCTGATTTCAACTTTCATTCTAGATAACCTTAAATTTAAATGTTAGCATCAAGGGAAGTGAGAAATTAGCGGAGCACTGTTTTTATTTCACAACCCTCTGGAGCCTTTAATTCATCATTTCTTGACTGTATACTTTACACTTGCTTTGAAATACCACATGCAGCTGTCCGCTAGTTAGCCTAAGTATTTTTATGACCAACACATCGAGACCAAAACGTGTTGTATCCACAGGTGTCGACTCCAAATCGCTCAGAACGTCACCAGACCTCTTATTGTCAAAATTTCCCCTCGACGTATTTGTTTCTTTCTCACTTGGAGTGTTTTTGTTGTCTTCTGAAAGTGCATGCGAACCCCTCCTTCATCTCAGGCCTCTGAATGGCTGCCCCGCTGCAATTATTCAATCAGCTGTGTGCATTTGATTTGTCTCCAAATCCCCATGATGTCTTGTTAACAACATTTGTCTTGCATTAAGGGTGCATTTGTAAATGCTTGAGTGGAAAAGAATTTGCTCCAAACATTACTAATTTAGTTGTCAGGCATTTTAAGTAGTAATTGAGAGCAGAGGTTATAACAAAAAACACGGCTCAAGTATGTTGTTGGGCCCTCTTCTGCTTTTGGCCGGGACTCAGAGATATCAGAGATATCCGTGTGCTGCTGCTCTGAGAAAGTCCCAGGTATTCGAACGGAAATTTAAGAGCCTTATTTTTGGACATTTTCGCATGTGTCACGGTAGTTTAACGATTAAATCTGTTTTGCGAAATTATTAGCAGTCCTTCTTGTTTCAAAATTCAAAAAGTCTGTGTCAGTCAGAAGACTGTTGGGGGGGGGGGGGGGGGGGGAAAGGGGATTTATAATCCGATTTAAAGCAGAAAATAATCGGTTTTAGGATTTTACATTTTGTATTACTTTAAAACAAAGGGAAATGACCTAAAATGAGGAGCATTTACCAGTTGGACTTCTGCTACCATTGAAGGACTTTGAAACATCATTCTCAACATGAGTTTTAGAGCAGTTTTTACAGCATCAAAGGAAAAGATTGAGAAGGATATTTAAGAACTGGATCCCCTGTTTATCATAATGAGATAATGAGGATAATAGTTATGGGATTATGAGTGGGGAAATAGATTCTGCTTCAGGGTTTTCATTCTGCCAAAATCCACAATTTCCCTCCAATTTGAGGCAGTTTGTATGTTTGATCAAAGACGGCAGGCTTGTAATGAGACAGAGGTGTGATGAAGCCGTCTTAACATTCTTGAACGGACAACTTTTTGGATAAGAAACTTCAACAACCAGATGGTGGACCACTTGTTCATAGTTAACAATTGGTCTTGCTAAATTGATTCTATAACTTTTTATGTCTTTCTTCATTTCAGAATGTAAAATAGAAAACTGTGAGGCATGTTTTAGCCGAAACTTTTGCACAAAATGTAAGGAGGGCCTGTACTCACACAGAGGGAGGTGTTTCTCTAGCTGTCCTGAAGGATTCACCATCAATGGCACCATGGAGTGTGTAGGTGAGTGAGCAGCATTGTTTCTTATATTTTGCTTGAGTGTTTTTTCATACGATTCTTTCTATGATAAATGATTACCTGATTTGTAACATATTTCTGTTAGATTTTATACATTTTACCAGACAAATGATGTCTTCAAGTGCTAAGGAACAGCATTTTAACACCTGCTATGCTCGATGAACTTAGTCAAACATGAAAAACTAATTGTGAATGTTAAATGAAAATACAACTTCTTTCAAACGTAAAAAACCTTGAAACCGATACCTAGATCACGGTGTCATTTACAATTACAGTTCACACGGCCAAGTTTTGCGGTTAATGCAGTTTTTAAGAAACATTTAGTATTTCAAATTTTATTGTATAAAATTACACACAATGATATTTAATTAATATGATATTTCATAATAACAGTAATGTACAAAAATCCATATGTTTTAGCTTTTTTATTTTATATGCAGCCTGTGTCTTTAAGCTATTTTTTGTTTCGTGCATGTCATCATCAGTTTTTATGAGCACATGGTACTGTATTTCTGTCGTTCCAAATCAGTTGTGCTGCTGGAATGAAGTTCTTGCATACCTTGTGTTTTTTGTATTTCTTCGAATTCTTTTTTTCTGTGGTTTCTCAATCGCTGTTGAGAGGAACGTTGGCAAAAGGCCTGTTTGATGATAAGGGTTTATTGATTTCTTTTGAAAATTTTTCTGTCAGAAGCAAGCAAACACAGCACTAATAGCATTACTCGCAATGGTGGTGCTGGCTCCTCCAGGCTGCTTGGCCTTTAAATGCAGAGGCTCGACTTGCACTGTGACATTGTGCCAAAGCTTATGATGCCTCACCTGCGTCAATGAGTCAGTCCACCACTTTGTAATGTGTATTGTAATGTGTATCGTTTTTGGCATAGATGAGTTTCCTTTGACCTTCCTGCCCCCAAACACATTAGACCAAAAAATTGGATGCTCAGAAAAGACCATGTGCTTGAAAACAGCTCAATCCAATTGAAAGTCTGGAGCTTGACGGCTTGTCATTACGTTGAATAAAAATGGAGCCTACCTCATACAATCATAACACATGCTCTGCTTTTTAGAAAAAAGTAATTGGAAAATGTGAGTGATGCTGGGTTTTAGCAGTCTGAATCTCCACTGTGGATTCTTTGGGTTTTTCTAATGTAGTTTCTTCAACTTTTGTCTGGAGTAACCCCATCCAGAGGAACAAAATGTTCAAACCCAAAACCATTTCTGTCTTTTCCCTATTGTCTGAAAATATGAAATGTGTAACTGGTACATACTAGATTCATTCTAAAAAAATTTTTTTTTTTTTTCTCTGTTGCAGTCCAATGTGATCTAAGCGAGTGGAGTCCATGGGGCCCTTGCATGAAGAAGAACAAAACATGTGGCTTTAAAAAGGGTAACCAGACCCGTACCAGGGAGCCCGTACAGATTCCAAGTCCTGCCACTTCCACAGGGGCCGCGCCGCCCTCGGGCTGTGTCCCAGAGACACAGGCCCAGAGATGTACCGTGCAGAAAAAGATCCCTTGCAAAGGTAAATCAGAGAAAGAACAACAGAAAAATGTTGGAAAGAGGTTGGATAGGAAATACTTGCGGCAAAAGGTATGCGTGAAATCTGCTATCCAACTTCAATACGCATGTTTGCAAATGACAGATTTTTTGATTTATCGATCATTTATCTTTTTTGGCCACTCGGAAAAACATGTAAACAGTCTCCTGAAACTAATTTGATTTAATTTATTTACGTTTTTTGACATAATACGGCGTAAATAAACCCTTGAGTGTTCCCAGTAAATAAACAGAAGCCCAGCTGGTTTGTAATCTTTTCGTCGCTGGCTGCGGATCTGAAGGCGGCCTTTTGTTAGTTGCTTTAACTTACTGGAAAGTGAGGTTAAAATGCTTCTCTGGCGCTCGAGCGGAAACGGAACGTTAGTGGACCTGTAGTGGACCTGTTGGATGTAAACTTTTCAAAAAAAAAAGTCTGAACATGTTGTTTCTTTCTGCAGTTTCACTCGCCTAGATGGCTTGTGTAGATTTCAGCCTATAGGAGTTTACATTGAGGAAAAAGGTAGTTTATAGTATAAGCGTACAAAAAAGCTTTCGACTGCCCAAATAAAGATTTGTTTATTTTATTTTGAGATGTTTCCTATATCAGGAACACATATATATATATATAATACGTATAATATATACGTATATATATAATATACACTACTGTAAATTTCTCTTGAGCGACAAATCGGCATATTAAAATGTATTTCTGTAATATCATGCGACACTGAAGACTGCTGAAAATTCAGCTTTGCCATCACAGGGATAAATTCGAGAATATTGAAAATAGAAAATAGTTATTTTAAATTGTAATAGTATTTCACAATATTACTGTTTTTACTGTATTTTCATCAAATAAATTTAGCCTCGGTGAGCATGAGAATTAAATGAAAAATTATTACCAACAATTGCAAAATTGCATTGAAAAAAACATTAACTTTCTGCATTTTTTAGCTTTATAAGTTTCGGGTTTAAAAAAAATAAAAGTTTAACTTTTCATTAATCAAGTTAAGCTGAATTAACTTTGTTTTATTTTCAGTATACTTTCTGCAAAAGAATGTTTTCTTTTTAAAGGAATCGTTTGCCCAAAATAAAGAACCCTTGTTCTGCTTTAAACCCGAATTACATTTTCATCTGTGAAAAACAAGGATGGGAAGATGATTATTCCAACCGTCAAGCTTAAAAAGCACATAAATGTACAATAAAAGTAGGCTAGTCAATAAAATTTGCACAATCATTTACCTTGTATGAAGACTGCAGTTTAAGTTGCTATTTACTCAAAATCTTCTGCTCTCTTTGTTTGAATCTAGCATGCATTCAAGAACATATGATCACATTTTTTCATGAATGCTAAAATGTACAACAGACTAGCTTACAGAAGACCTTGCAACATGTCATCGACAATACAAAAAAATCAAGCCAGGCTAATATAAGTGTTGATGTGATTGTGACTGCTTTTGTCTACCAATAGATATCTCTCAAAAACTGAGGTCTCTTTAATTTAATCACATGTTGTTAACATTAAGGTGCAAGCATACCTAGATACCATATTCAAGCGATTTTGATCAGTTTAGGAAAATGCATGACTCATGACTCAGTCTAAATGCTAAGCTAATTGTAACGCCACCCATTGAGTGGTTCCTAAAATAAACACCAGAATACACCTTCTAGAGCTCTTAGTTTTCTTCAAATTGTTGAGAAACAGTGTGTTCCTGGAAATTACGTCTTATTCATGCGAACAGCCTCACAAGATCAAGTTCTCGCTGTTCTTCTGTCGGGAGAAGTGGGCTCCATGCTTTGCTGGACTAGGTGTGACAGCGCCATTTGAGAAATGAGAGGCAAATTTACTCTGCATGACGCCCGTATTGTGGAAAGAATTTTCACCCGGGGTCCATAAGAATAATTAACAGTGAAATATTATAAACTGCCCCATAAAAGTGCTATATCGCCTGCCAAATTTCTAAACTTAGAGAGTCCACTTGTCGTAAAAGCTTTCGCAGAGAGAGAGAGAGAGCTACGGTGAACTAATAGGTCTGGACACATGTAAAGTCATTTGTTTGTAGTTCAATCTCATAATATCATTCTTGTCCTAACTATGTTAAGATATGATCAGTAAGAGAAGTGTTCTGCCGGCTGGAGTCGAGACATGTTTTCGCCACAAAAGCAAAGCGGCACCGCCCACCCGAAAAGAATTAATGCAACTCAGGTGTCAAAGAAAGCATAGGTTATGGGGTTGCATGACCCAAACGCCCTCTTTTTTTCTAAGTGCGTAAATGTTCACCTCGTGCTAAATTAGCAAGGCTGTGAATACATCTGCAGGAATTGGCTGACAGGGCTGCTGTAAAAATCACAGGGGGCAGTGCTTGTATAACACCGGTGATTTACTGGTCTGCAGATCTCACGCTTTGTGTTGATTATACCAAGCTCCCCCCTTTCTCTTCCCCTTCCTGTAGCTTAATAAATGTCTTTGCACGAAAACCGAATACACTAAATGCGTGATTGCCTTTGTCAGGCGATGGTGTTTAGGTTGGATTGAGCAGCGCTGTAATTATTGCTGTCATAAATGAATGGATCCTCCCCAAGCGCTCTTACCGCTTTATCAAAGCTAACAAGTCTCCTCCATGTGGATCCAAAGTTTAAGGCTCCATTTCCTTCTATGTTTTTTTTTTCGTTTCACCTCGGTTTTTAAGTCGTGATTAACTGACACTTGAGTTGAGCTTTTTTTCCACATTTTGTGAACTTAATGCCTTTGAATTCCTCACATGAACAAGATTGCTCTTCTCGAAGCAGTGTATACTAAACGATTGAATTCAATTAGACTTCTTTTGTTTTGTTTTTGGAAATCTTCCGTAATTTTGTCACTGATAAAACTATAAAATTATTAATTGTTTTTATACAATACATACAACCAAGGCCTAAAATGAACACTCACCAAGTGCCAAATGCGAAATCGGCGTTGGTGAGTATACTGTATGAAACGGTGTCAATCGCCAGTTGGCTGGTAATATTTTAAGAATTGTAACAATGTTGCAATATTGTGAGAATGTGAACAAACGTGAACGATGCTCCGGACAGATGACAGGCCAGTTTGGCATTGTCACGAAAGTGCAAGAAGACAGGAAAGGGAACTTAATTAGTTTCTCGCATGCCCAGAAATCTACATCTCAGACAGCACGCGAATACCGAATCTTCTTGCTCTTGAACAGACATATTCAAACAAAAATATGTCAAAATGGTATCCTCATAAACATTGTCAGTTATGTCTTACGCAAACAGTTGAGAAAGAAAATATATTCAGTATATTGGATCCGTGCATTAGCTCTTAAAGTGACAGCAGCCGAATATTCTTGCTGCCGTCTGTGTTTTTAATTCGATTCAAACAACAAAAGACAAAGAAAAATCACTCTCTGCTCTTGACTAAAGAACTTTTGTAACTTTAATAAAGATTAATCTATGTTTCATGGCTTGTATACAATTTTTATGGGCGGAATATTTTCTTATGTCACCGGCCATGGCAGGCGTGGCAAAAAGTTTTTTTAGGCCCGTGTGTACAATATATTTATCTTCGGTCCTCTAATCTGATTGGACGAGCACTGGGAGGTTTCAACACTTGTGAATCTTTCAGTAGGTTACATTGTTATGCCAGTAGGTGGCAGCAAGTGACTTTATGAGTGATAAGTGAGTCATTGAATCATTCATTTCAATGAATTGTTCAAACCACACTGATTAAAGGAATAGTTCACTTCTTTCTTCTGCTGAACACAAAAGATGATATTTTGAAGAATGTCGGTAACCAAACAGTTAATGGACCTCATTGACTTCCATTGTATTTTTTTTCCCTACAATTGAATTCAATGGGGGATAGGGGTGGGCGCTATACCGGTATGAACGTGAATACCGGTATTATGTTGTGCCATGATATGGATTTTGCGATACCGAGGATACCGTATTCATAAATTCAAATTTTGCAGTTATATTGTTTTGTTCAATTTGGTAAGTTAGGCTACTCTGTTAACACAACTGTTAATGACGATACAGAATCGAATACGCTGTTTAAGGAAATTGCTGATTTGGCGCTTCATACGCGTGAAGTTGCTTAGGCGATTAACCGCTGTCCTGTGACGCGTTCAATGAGGACCGTAACGTAGAACACATCGCTAGTGCTAAGCGACTGTTCATAAAGGATGCATCTTTTGCGGTGGAATGGGAAATAACAAGGTAATGAGACGCAAGTTTGACTTTTAACTTGAGCGCAGCATTTTTAGAATGCCGTTTCATTTGCGAGACGCGGGTGCAACACCTAAACAAGTTCGTCAAGCACAAAAAAACGTTAAAGTTCTAGGCTACTGTATGTTTGAGATGTCATGTTTTCATGAAGGCTGAAAGCTGCTATTATTATCTTTGTTTTTACAAAACATTTACTGCTAATAATATTATCCACGTGGAGACATTTCCCCACAATGTAACGTTAGGCTATGAATAACAGGACACGACACACACATAAGCGCGCGCATACACACACACTGGTCCACTATCTTTGTGGGGACTCCCCATAGACGTAATGGGTTTTATACTAAACTGTAGGCCTTTATTCTGTCTCCTTACACTAATGAATTAGTTTGTATGAAAATTTTCATTGTTTTTTTCTTGTATACTTTTAAGTTCTATTTATTTGGTGCTTTGTTCAATCTCAAACCATTATTTTATTTTTATTATTAACAAGAGTTAACTGTAATCTGTGTAAACATTAAACTTAAATTAAACGTCTCGCTTTGGTCTACACTGAAGTGTTCTGCTCGCTCTGCTAAAGCTAAACTATAATTATTAAAACTGAAACTGAAACTAAATAAAATAAAAACTATATAGAAATGTGTTTGCAAAATAAAAATGTACAAAACCATTAATGAAACTAGCTAAAACTAAACAGAAATTTAAAGCAAAATTGAAAACGATATTAAAATAAAAACTAATTTAAAAAAGCAAAACTATAACAACAGATATTCCCGGCGGAGACAGAGCACACCCGAAGACGGCTCTCACTCAGAAATCAATAAAGTCTTCATTCGCTGCCGGTTCTCATTATGACAAAACGAGCAAAAAGTGGAAAGACATAACAAGTGCATTCAGGCCTACCTCATGTTGCACGTTTGCACTTTTTGAGAAAAAAAATGGCACAATAATAAAAAAAAAACATTTCTGGTCTATGTCCAATGAAATGCCTCCCCTTTTTCTATCTAATGTTAAAATACATATTTTGCCTGTAATTTAACTAAGGTGTACTAAAATGTGATTCCAATTTTTTTTCCTCATATCGCGATATAATATCGATATCGTCCAGACAGTGAAAAATATCGTGATATGAATTTTTGCTCATATCGCCCACCCCTCCATCAACTCTCTGGTCACCGACATTCTTCTAAAAATCTTCTTTTGTGTTCAGCAGAAGTAAAAAATTCATACAGGTTTGAAACAACTTGAGGGTGAGTAAATGATGACAGCATTTTTAAGTGAACAATTCCTTTAGTTTAGGAACCAAACAAGTGTTCTTTCGGATAATTAATTACTTTGACTGCTAAAAAGTACATTGTATGTAGTATGAATGTATGTTGAGTGAATGTAATCCGGATGTACCTCATTTGTCTTTTGACCTATCAATGTCAGTTGTGTCTCTTTACTGCCATTCTCTCACGTGGCCTCATGGGATAGTAAAGTGTCCATCAGATATGCACTTCAGAATCTTGCCAGAACTAGTAAGTCACAGTGGTACTTTTCGCATATTGTTTTATGAATGCTTTGAATTCAGAAAATTCCCTGTTCACATTCTGTTTTTCACCTACTATATATTAGGGAAGTATGCAATTTCAGATGCAGCCACTGTCTTTGAGTGAGTGAGTGAGTGAGTGAGTCATTGAATCATTCATTCAACTGATTTGTTCAAAACACACTAACTTGTTCAGGAACAAAACAAGTGAGTGTCTTAATTGAGTCATTCAATCTAACGATTTGTTTAAAAACATTCATTCAGAAACGAAACACCACTACTGTGTGTTTCTCCGAGACGTGCAGCAGTTCTCCTGTGGTTTCATTTGGAGCTATTTTCGCTAGTAGAGCAAAACATATGAAGTACATGGCCATATTGTGTCATGTTTAAATAGAGCTGTTCTGAATAGTGCTTGTGATTACCTGCAGCCGAATAACATTACAACAGCACTCTTTCTCTTGTGATATTAATAAAATGTTTAGTTGTTTATAGACATTTGGCAGGTTTGTTAAATAAACTGAGGGAATTCTAATTATTGCTTGTTTTGTTGTTAGATTCAAGTCCATTAAACTCTTAAATGTTTGCCAAAGAAAGTTGTTTTTTGTGCGTTTACGATGATACCATTTCAAGTCAAAAATCTGTAAAAGTGAAACTGCTTTTTATATAACTCTTATTAAGGTTTAATTAAACAAATGTTTGTTTGCGCCCTTCCCATTCTATTTTTAATCATGCATTTTATGTGGAAGAACATCAGGGCATCAGGATGAGCAGAGAGCCAATTTCAGGAGCCACAGAGCGGCTGTGTGTGTGGCTTATGTTATCAAGTGCCGAGTGAATGCTCTCCAGCACCAAACGAGTGTTGACTTTGGTTTCCAGGGAACACTGAGACTCACAACACTAACTTCATAACAAATATCAGTCAGTCCGGAGGCCCTGACTCCCCTCTTATAGTAGTGCAAGTGAGGCTGATGGGAAACAAACCAGCCTGTTTTTCAGTAAGGTTTTAGGACAGTACTGTATAGTTCAGCATATACACATTTGAATATATGCTTACATATGCACAGCTTTAGAAATGTTTTTTTATGAATCATTTGTATTCATATAATATATTCATATACTATGTGTATATATTAATTAAGATTTTATTATTCAGATATTTTTGTGTGTTTGAATTTCATTTTTAATTAGCTTAAAATGCAAAACTACATATGTATTATCTTAATTGTATGTCTTTGATATTTTTTTCTTGTTTTAAAAATAAATTGAAAAGGGTTTAGTGAGGTTTATTCTGAAAGCAAAATAAAAGGCAAATAAAAAAAAACTGGGCCAATGGGGTAAGAAATATAAATCTAATTTAAGATATACATACAGTTTTGTTTCTCAAGTATATTTATCATGTTTTATATATTTTATATATATCATGTTATATTGTAACCAGACATAATACATCATCATTGTTCTAATTGCAACCAGTTTTGTGGGTAACGCATTACAAGTAACGTGAGTCAATCAGATTACTTTTTCAAGTAACTAGTAAAGTAACACATTACTTTTAGATTTACAACAAAAAGGTTATGCAAGTTACTTGGTTTTCCTATAGACTGACACCTCTCTTGTACCTATGTTTTTTATGTTAAAAATCAAACGAGCAAGCCCAGCCCAGGTGAGAAAAAGTAATGCAATGCATTACTTTCCATAAAAAGTAACTAATTAACACAATTAGTTACTTTTTTAGGAAGTAACACAATATTGTATTGTGACATTACTTTTAAAAGTAACTTTCCCCAACACTGATTGCAACTTTCTTTTATTTAGGGGAAAATAAAAAGAACCCACAGAACCGTGGAGAGAAAAATGGCAAGAACCGTGGACGAGACTCCAAGGAAAGTGGCAAAAAGAAAAAAAAGACCCCGAACCGGTCCACCACTGTCCCCACCATTACAACGAGCATGGTGACCTAACCTTATCATGGTGTCAGGTGAGCCTGAGAAAGGAGAAGGCCTGGCCCACCTTTGTTGGCTGAAGACAAACAGTATTTGATTGTGACATCAAAATTATGCAAAAAAAAAAAGAAAAAAGAAAAGGAATAACGCTGCTACACGTAAAACATGCTCAATGAGAACTGGAGGATTGCTGTACTAAATAATGAACTGTGTAAACTGAGTAAAGCTTGGGGGAACCAAGGGGCTGGGTTGGTTAGTCTCATGCTATTTGGAAACACCCAGAAAGACTGTGCGTGTGCAGGGTCGTCTTTTTGTAAGCCTTCCCACAGGAAACAACATTGTTTGTGGTTGGCAAAATGGTCCATATGTTTCACTTTAGATCTATCAGAAAGGTTTCTGAACTATAGAAGACACTGCAAAGGCCCGCCGTCCAAAAAGAACATCTAAAATACATTAGAATCTCTTGTGATTCACCTAATCCAGCTGTAATCACATTCTTTTTATCCAGAGTTGGATCTCCTTATGTTCGTGACAGGTAGCCTACAGTCTTGAGTCTGTATGTGAGTCTGTGTCAGAGTGAAAAGTATTTTTTTTTTATGTTTTCTTTTTCTTTCTGTTGTTTATAACAAAAGAAGGCACTGGAACTGATATTGTGGTTTACAGAGAGAATGTGGAGAAAGAAGAACTTTAATGATGATGAAACTATCCAAACATGAAGAAACGCACTTATAACTTCCAACCGGTAGAGCGGTTTTACTTGTTTTAGTGGTCTATGTAAAATAAGTATTTTGTTTAGGGGAAAATAAATACAATATTTTCTGCACAGATGAAGGCAGCGATAATATGAGGAATGTACAGTGTTTAAGTATGTGTATGAAAGATGAAAGATTGTGTGCGTGTGTCAGATTGTGTGTTTTTGAATCTGTGTTCTTGTGTGCACCTTTGTGTTGTAAAGCAAGGAGAAGAGAGAGGTCAACAGTACATTTCTTGTGACCAAACCAGTTTGGAACTAAACCAGCACAATGCTTAAGCAGCATTGATTATATGCTATATAGGTTTTTCATTGCTCAGTTATCATATTTGCAACAGGTTCAATATATCACATCATTCATAATGCTTTGCAACATTTAGTATCAGTATCAGAGGAAGGAATGCTGTACATCCTACAGTTATTTAAATGTAGCATCCAGTCACACTTAGTCTGTTTGATTTCCACAGCATCTTGACCATGGGCTGCATTTTCCAAAAAAACATTGTAAGCATAAGTAGATTGTTGAGACCTGTGGTGCTAATGGTTTCTACCATATACTATAGGCTTACTATGCTTTTGGGAAATGCAGTGGGTATTTACATTACAATATACACCCCGAATGAGAATTATAACACTGAAAATGTCAGCTTCTGTTTATCTTGATGCAATATACATATTGTTATTATATATATATTTCTATAAAAATCTACAAGGCAAATAAACACTTAAATAAATGTTTGGATGCAGTTATTTGTATGAATAAATGTATGATTTTTTTTGTCTTATGTGTACAGTATTTCTGTATATGTGTAGGGGGGTCGGGCTGGTTGTCACATGGGGAAATTGTAAGGGCTATGTCTCTTAACAATGCAATTGTTACACAAATGTTTTCTCTATCAGTGATTTTGTATGTGGGTTTCAATCACCTAATTCAAAACCCTCTAAAATTACTCTTTTTTTGTGTGTGTGAATACATTATTATATGAATATTATTTAACTGAAAGGTTAGTTTGTGTGGTAACACTATTTTACAGTGTCCTTGTTACACATTACATACTTGCTATAATAATAACAACAGTAAATTATGCATAATTACAAGCAACTAACCATAAATTAAATCCTCATCTTAATCCAAACCCTATAGTAAGTACATGTTGTTAATTATTATTACTCGGTACTTAATTGTATAATTACACTGTAACAAGGACACCTTAAAATAAAGTGTAATTGTTTGTGTTTCCAAGACAATATTTTTAAATTAATGTCAAGTTGGGAGCAAGTTGTCGTGTTTTATATGTTATGAACTTACACAAACTATTACAAAATTAATCAGCCTAAACAAAGTTTTGAGATTTTTGTACATTACCTTTTTTTTGCTGTTTTATGAATTACTTTGCATTTCATAATTGTTTTAATTGTTACATTTAGCTGAAAGCTTCTATAATGTAAAGGTGGGTTCAATGAACTGTATGTTTTTCTTTTTTCCTAGCTTGTAATATTAAAAACATGTAGATAGATTTTAGTGGCCATGCATTTAAGGTGTTAATACAGAGATGCACCTAGAAATATTCACTGAAGTAAAAAGTGTAACCAGCACCCATCTCACAGAAAGGCTATTTTTAGGGACTTTTAAATATTTTATTTTATTATCATTACTTTCCAATTATTATAGGTATGGACATGAATTGTCTTTACCTGCGGTATAATGATTCAAACTGAATCAATTTAAGACCTTTTTGCAAACCCGTTTGATCAACTCAAAAGCTAGTCATTCATTAGCTAATCTGGCAACACTAATTCTGATTCTAAATGGTCAACAAACATGACGTGATTGTTGAAATATTGAGAGGGAAAAGAAGTCTTAGATCAGTATAATCCCCATTGCTGGAGGATTTATTAATAATATTTTGCCGGGGCACAGCACAGTAGCCTAGCTATTTCACTGGGTGGTCTGTGGCACAACAGGAGAGACGACAGTATTTGGTTAGGAAGGTGTTTGTGTTTGTACGTGCGTGATTCGTGTTAGAACAGCAGCAATTGTGGTTCAGAATGTGTGGCGGTAGTTGGTGCCCAGGCATAGTAAAACTTGAGACAGAAATAGGCTCTGATAAAAACTAATGATGTGTCATCGCCAGGGGGAGGGGCTTAAACAGGATCGCACCCTCCAACGCTGCAACAGCCGTTTCTCATTACAGAGGGGAGGGCAGAAGAACGGTAAAGAGTGGACCGTAAATTACACTTTCATCCCCCTTCCTGACCATAAATTCTTGCGTCGGCTCCATGGGACGGAGCTCTCCCTCTCGTTCACCCTCTCTCATCCCTCTCCCTCGTTTCATCTCTCGCACTCCTCCCGCGGCCTATTCGGTCCCCCTCTCTGCCCATAATCCACGTTTAACATTATGATTGAAATCACCATTAAATCAAAATAGACAATTCTTGTTTTTTTGTGTGTGTGGAATTGCAGCATTTACTATAAATGATTTATCTGACTGTGGACATTTTTTGCACCCTCGTAATCTTTAATCAAAATAACGTCCCCTCCTCCCACTTGCAGCAACAGGTGTGTTCGACTTGATGTGGTGCTGTGCAGACCGACCGATGTATGACATCAAAGTAGGCTATTCAAAGTGAGCGATTCGAAAGCATATGGAACTGTCTGCTCTCCAATCGCTCTCGCGGTACTTTGATGTCATGCACAGATCTGCGCATCTCTTCTGATGATGTTTTTACTGACGTGAGGGAGGGGCAACATGTAACTCACATGAGATCACACAAAAGCACGTAAAAACAATCTAATTATTCAATCAATTTCTGATGGACAAAATCAAGTCCTGTTTTGCATTTTTTTTTCTGCTTCAAGAACCTGTGATATACATCACAGGGAAGAAAAGACTATCGCAACTCAGTGGTGGCTGGTGGGTTTTAAGATACTAACTAGGCTTTATGCACAGCTGCACTACTTCCTGAACTTTAGCCAGCTCCTTTGTTTCCTGTCTGCCATTATTGGACAAACTGATTAATCCAGGTGTGCCTGATTATTGTCACTGAGGCCAGGCACACCTGGATTAATCAGTTTGTCCAATAATGGCAGACAGGAAACAAAGGAGCTGGCTAAAGTTCAGGAAGTAGTGCAGCTGTGCATAAAGCCATTTGTAGCAGTCTGGGGATCCCTATTCTCATGTAGACCGACAACAGAAGGTCTGGACCCCATAGCAGCTTTCATTGGCCAAGGACCGCCAAGGCCGTCTGACACAAGTCTCCCGGCTATCCTGTAGATTTCAACCAATCAGATGACGACTTTGAAAATCCTGAAGTTTCCAATTTTGTCTGCCATTTGCATCAGATGTGCAGCCAATAACGTCGAGGCTGAGATTAGGGGTGTTCATCCTCAGTTAAAATGAATGGGGTTGGGGGGTGGTATAATTGAAACTGGTGGGGCACAAATCAAATCTTTTCACCCTTTCATAGCACCAGGCCTGCGAGAAATATTGTTTCCCCTCCTTCCTCAAATGATTTCTATCACAAAAGTTTTACGACTTTTGGCGGAACACAAATATATACAATATAATTTGTTCTTATTTTTCCTCAACTTTTAGGGGCTCCAAATATTGACAAACCTGTATACTCTTAGGAAAAAGGTTCAATTGGCTTCTTGTCTCAGTTTGAACCCTTTAAGGTTCTACATAGAACAAGTGAAAGTAGAATGGAAAAATGTAATATTTGAAAAACATCACAAATATGCCCTCATCTGAATATTTCACCTCATGAGGGCCGAGCATTTTTGCTTAGTCACAGAACTCAAAATGTCCCCCGTCCTCCCTCTCAGGTCATAGACTCCACCAGGGCAAATGAGGCCATGAGTCTCCTGCATGTCATACTCTTCGCATATAAGCCAGTGCTTTCCCACTGTTATTACCAATTACCCAATTTCTGTCTTTCTTTCAAATCATAACCAAATCCAGCTCTCTTCACATGAACTCAGGGCTTCCCCAGAGAGAAAACTGCTCCACGGTTTTCATCTCTCCTGCTCTGAAACACAACAGCCTCTCTCGTATGGATCGAGATCTGAGGCGAGGGAAAATGGGGGCCAAAAAGGGATGTTTCTAAAGGGGTGCCTCTGGAACAGAGAGTGATGGAGTGTGTGGGTGGTGGTATTTCTTCGCTGGCACTGTGTGTGTGGTGTCTACCAGTGCAGGAGGTATAGGCCTATCTCACCCACTGGGACTCCAGAGGTTTTTACGAGATGCAAACATGCAGGCTAAACATAACTGCACAGCATTATTTCAAAGGGAAGAATGAAAACAACTACAGAACCTTTCTTTACAATCACTGGCTGACGATTCATGCAAGCTTGTGAGATGACGGGCTACCAGAAACAGCCCTCCTCAGCAGGTGCAGACAGGGTATAAAACTCCTGTGCGTGTCAGGATGAGACTGCTGGAGCCAAGAAGTGTGCTTGGCTTGCCTGGGAACTCCACAAACTTCTGCTTCACCCATCGGAGAGCAGCGCATTAGTTGAAGAATTGTTCTTGTCGGGTTTTCTAAATCAAGTTTTTTTGAGACTGATGCAGCCTAGGCTGCATGGTCAGCTTTTTTGGTTGTAAAATTATTATACTCTGCTTCTATTATATTGAAATGACACTGGCACAAATGTTGTTGTTTTTTCATTAAAGTTTGCATTAAATGGAAACTTCAATATTCATTTGTTCCCTATTGTGACGTAGGCCTATATCTCAGTGAAACGGCTTCTCGATCAAGAAAAAAATGTACGGCGGGACTTGATTTTGTCCATTCGGAATTGATTGGATCATTGTGGTTTTGCTATTGCTGTGATGTCATGTGAGTGACAGGTTTTCCCGCCCTCGCGCCAGTGAACACGCCATCAAAGAGAAGTGAGGGGAATTTATTTTGATGAAAGATCATTTAAAATAAATACTGCAATATTCCTTAAAAAAATATTTCATGCTAACTTTAATTCAATTCAATTCAAAATTATTTGTATAGCGCTTTTCACAATACATATTGTTTCAAAGCAGCTTTACAGAAAGTGCATTTCAGAAATGTACATAGAAAAAATAAAGTTAGTTAATCATGTATTAATTTAGGGCATAACATATCGCCGGCGTCGAGTCGTCTCTTCACAGGCGTTTAGTCATCTCATCGCAGATGTTGGGGCATCTGAAGTCTCCGTGAGAGGCTGGATACAAACTGGAACTGACGAACGCCATTTACCTCGGGACTAGCGTCCCGAGATAACAGCAGGAAAGCAGATGGGAAATAATTAGCATAGCTGCTGTTCATAATATTAATGCATTCGATCTGATTCAGCAGTGGTATAAAAGGTAAGCATTATGTAAATGCTTGGCTAAAGAGATGCGTCTTTAATCTAGTTTTAAACTGGGACAGCGAGTTTCGAGCCTCGAACAATATCAGGAAGGCTATTCCAGAGTTTAGGAGCTAAATGTGAGAACGCCCTCCCTCCTTTAGTGGACTTAGATATCTTAGGAATCACCAGAAGCCTCGAATTTAGTGATCTTTAAGAACGCGATGGCAATAGAAGGTCCATTAAATACACAGGAGCTAGACCATTTAGGGCTTTCTAGGTCAGTAGTAATACTTTGTAATTGATACGGAACTTAATAGGTAACCAGTGTAGAGATGATACAATTGGTGTTATATGATCATATTTTCTTGACCTAGTAAGAACTCTAGCGGCTGCATTTTGCACTAAGCT